CCTATTCTCAATCCTTGGCAAGTAAGGGGACAGACGTTTTATCCATCAGTCAAGGTAACTGCCAGCAATGGAGCTTCTGCAGAGCATCCACCCTTGGCAGTTAGGGCAGCGGTTTTCAGTTTTTACATTTGGCATCAGGGCTCAAAGGCTCCAGGTGGGGGCTAGAAGCTCAGCACTCCACCAGCTCTTGGTAGTTATGAGTTCCAGGAGTTAATAAACAAGGAGCTCAATATGCAGGACTAGGGCTAAGGAAACAAGGGCCTTAGGCATGCAGAGGAACTCTGAAGAGAGTGGCTCCCTCTTGGTGGTTGTGGGGATGGTGGGCAAAGGGCAGAGGGTCATCTGACAGAAGGGCAAAGAGGATCTGGGAGCTGGGACCTTGACCTACAACCCAGCATCTGCAGTCACACTCTGGATTGCAGCATGCGGGGCTGGGAAGAAGAGAGAGGAGTCAAGCTTAGCTTCTAGATCTCCATTGTTCTCCCATAAATTCAGGAATTCAGGTTAGCAATACCTGATCTTTCCTTAGAGGGCCAAATGGGGACACAGAAACAAGGTTCTGGGATGTGCAATGCTATACTCATACCCAATTGTCAATAACAGTAATTAATGATGTTATCAACGGCGATAGTCCTTTCACTCACCAATGCTTACAATCAGTATGTCCACAGGTCTTTGTTTAGGATGACCTGGACAGGCAAGGTCAGAAGGAGCCAGAAAGACCTGGAGTGGTCTTGAGGTGTGCTGGTCACTCTCCCTCTGTACTACGAAGCAGGGCTTGTCAAGCTAGGTAGCAGATTAGGAGAAGTCTGGTGAACTTAAGGAAAAATAATTCCCAAGGCCTTGTAGGCACACTCAGTAGAGACAGAATGAATCCATTCTATTTGGGCCTGTGCATCAGTATTTGTTTTGAATTTTACATTTATGTTTTTAAAATAAAATTTACCATTTGAACCACTTCCAAGTGTCTAACTCTCAGCGGCACACTGAGCACTCAAAGGCAGTGACGTTGTCACCAGCTTCTATCCCTGGTGCTTTTCTACCCCTAGTCAACCCAAGTCCTTCTCTCTGCCTGCAGCCTCTGGCAGGCAGCCCTCATTTCCATCCAGTGACTCCCAGGGCTCCAGAGTGCTCCAGAGAGGGAAGTCAAGTCATAGAGGACTTGTCCTAGGACAGCAGTGTTTTACAAACTCTACCAGGGGCTCTCTGTACATCAAGACCCAGGGGTATGGCCAAGTGGAGGCTGTGTAGGGATACGTTTCTGGAAAGAGAATAGGGATGTAGCTGGAGGCAGCAGTGAAAAACTACAGGGACAGAAAGAAATGCTGAAAAAATTGGAATTTCTGCACCAAGTTATATTTAGGAGAAGATAGCTCGAAGGGAAACACTGTATTTTTGAGAAGGAACTTTGGCAATGAGGGCCACTAAATTATACATATTTTAAGATTTTACAAATAACAATGTTCATGTATACATACTATTACAAAGCATATATGCAATGTGTGACAATCAAAGACATTGGTGTTTCTGTCACTTCACAATCTCCCTGGGATTTGGGAGATGGCTCTCATGGTAAAGTGCCCATGGATCAATCATGGAGATCCAAATTTGGATCCCTGGCACCCATTTCTACCGCAGTGTGGGTCTATGATCCCACAGTTGAGTAGATAGAGGTAGGAGGAATTCTGGAGTTCATTGGGCAGACAGCATAGCTGAATATGAGTTCCAGGTTCAGAAAGAGACTCTGCCTCAAAAAATTAGAGTGGAAAGCAACCAAGAGAAACACCTGACGTCAGCCTCTAGTCTCCACATGCATGTGTACAGATGTGTACATGCGTTCACATGCATACATGCACACACCCTCAAACATGTTGTCACACATAGACAATTGTTGTCATTGGTAATATCCAAAATTCTCCTACTGGCTGTTTTGAAATACTGAATCAATTGTTGTCAACCACAGTTTTCCCACTGTGTTCTAGAAATTGTTCTTTGGTCCCAGCTGCACCACTGTTCCCACCAGCCTGTCCTTCCCAGCCTCTAGTAACAACCACAACTCTCTCCTATGCCAGTGACGTTTAGTGAAGGGAAATTTTCCTTGCTTTACACGCGGAGTCACAAAACCATTCAGAGGACCACTTTCACGCTGCCTCACCTTTCTTTCCAATAACAGCTGATTCACAGAAAGCTGCAAACCCCAGAAGTAAAATAGTGCACATGCCCGACGCACTCCCAAATCCTACACAAGTGACAGCTATGTGGCTCCTGCCGAAGTGGGTGACAATAACTTCTTGTCCTTGGGTTTTTGTTTTTTGTTTGTTTGTTTTGTACATTCAATTTGATAGCTAAAGGTAGCAAATGCTCAACAGCTCCATCTGGGTTCAACCAAGACTCTCAACGTGTTAAAAAAACACACACAAAGATCTGTGGAAATTATTTTTTGAAATGTCACCTTACTTTCTGCATGAAACAACCTTTCCATATCTGCTGTCAGTTTTGCAGAAGATGGGCTAGAAGAGCGATTTTGTCGATCTGAACCAAAACAGCATTGTGGTTGCTAAGTACCATGAAGACACAGAGACAGACATCATCTCCTCTTTCCTTTGTGCCTGATGCCAGTCAGCACCTGCCCTTTGCGGGGCAGGGAGCAGAGGCACTCGTGGGCACACACCCAGCTCTGATTAGAGTGCTATGCGTGCCTCTTATTCAAAAAAGATGGAGCCAAGGTGGCATTGATGTCTTCTATTTCTTTTTCCATTTAATATTTAAAAAATAAAGATAGCTATTAGGGAAGAAGAGAGGCAGTGAGGTGGGGAGAGGGTGGAAGGGAGGGGGGAATTGGTTAGCTTTGTATTGCTAATGTACTGTGTTTTGTGGCAGGCTGGGTTGTTCAGCCAGACTACCTCGAAAGAGGAAGGCAGCCGCTTAAGTGGAGAGCTTGACTGGGGACAAAAGATGCACCTGCAAAGCACAGGCTTAATCGTCTCTAGAGGCCAGGGCCGAGGCTGGGAGATAAGTGCCCAGCACCACCTGAATGGAGCAGCCGGAGTGTTCGCCTGGATGCTATGGTCAATTCATTTCAGAAGAGGCTTGCTACCCAGTAGGAGCTGGCGGCTCCTGCAAGCAGCCTGAATGAGGCAGCAGGGAGACAAATGCACTCTCCACACAAAAGGGCCAGTGGAGGAGGGGCGAGGCTGGCAGGTAGAGCAGAGGGTCGAGGGCTGTGCCTGACTTCTCAGAGGGAAGGAGTGGTTTGCAACACTTTTCAATGTCTCTAAACTGGGGTTTTCAGCCTGAACCTGTATTTTAACCCAGTATGAACCAGTAGCCCACTGGTTTTATCTAGCCCAAAGTCTCATTGGTTTATTCTGATGGAACCAGCATGCAAATTCGGTAGTTCAAAAGCTTGCCTTTCTTTCCCCCTTCTTCCCTTTCTTCCTCTCCTCTCTTTCACTGCCCTCCTCTCTCTTTCCTCCTTGCTCTCCTCTTTCTCCCTCTCTTCACTGTACTTTGCTTCTTTCTGTCTAAACCTGCAAGTTGTAGCTCCATCATCAGCCACCTCAGAAACGGAGAGCTCTAGAGTTAGTGCTTGGCCCTCCTTGCAACTCTACATCTGACGTGAGTCTGAGGACCCAGATGTAATGAAGCCAAATGACCAGACCTCAGTGTCATGATAATAAATATTCTCTGCTGCAGGTGTGTGTAACATCATGTTACAGATCATCAGGCTGTAGAGCGAGTAGGCAGAGCTCCAGTTCTCATGACGAATTAAGTATCTGATTTGGGGAATCAGTAGCCAAAACAAGACTAGGTTGGGTAATAGAGAAGGAAGGAAAAACAAAACCACCTAAAAGCAGAATGGTATAACCCTTCCACGAAAGGTCCTGGTCCTTATCAGATCATAAACTATGACTGAAGGTGCGATCTTGAGTGAGATGATTGGGGATGTTTGGGTCTCTGCTCCCTTCCTATTCCAGGAGAATTTGAAACAAATGTTACCTTTCCAGAGACTAGCCTGCAGTAGTGTGGAACCCTTTTTGTCTCTGTCCAATTTTGTAACAGGTGTAGGTCAACCAAAGCTAGGGTGGGAGAGTGTCCAGGAAGAGAAACGCCTGTTACACTCCCATCTCCCCACCAGCCTTACGCAAAAGTTTGTGGACTCCTTCTGTCGCCATCAGAAGATTTCTTTGCACTCTCTTTGGTTTCTAATAATTATTTGCTTTAACTATTCTCCATTAATTAACCAGATATCATGAATTATTCATTTAAATATTAAAATCAGATAGTATCTGGTCCAATTCTACAATATTAATGTCATAAATAAATGAGTGAGTCCTCCCTTCCCGTGTGTGTGTGTGTGTGTGTGTGTGTGTGTGTGTGTGTGTGAGATGCTGGATCAAACCCAAGGCCTCACACATTCTGGGCAAGTTCTATTGAGCTTCAGCCCGTACTGATGAAGGTTCTGAGACATACTACTATGATGTCCACTAAAATCATTTTTTGAGACAGCTTCTTTCTGACCAAAATAAAAGGAAATCAAATGAATGGTTTGATTAAACCAAGCCAAACTAGAACAGACCAACCTATACTAGACCAAATCTTCAAGCCACCACTTTAAACATGAATTAATGCTAAAAATATTTCAGAAGAAAACCCCAAAACTAAACTTTACAAGGCAGACACACATTCCATTATCTTCACCAAGAGAGCTCCCAAGTGTCAACTTGGAAAGTTAGCGGAATCCATTGTTCTCTAAAAGCAATACCCTTCTCTTTCAGGGTCAATGTCTTTAAATTATATCATCGTGATGTTTTTATGAGCTATTTCAAAGCTTCTCTTGTAGTTCTTAGATTTTTTTTTTAATTTTGTGTACTAGAAAAATAGTTTGCTGAGCAAGAAATTGGTGTTCAGACCTGACATTTCCTACCTGTCTGAACAGCATGGAACTGTGCTGTGTCTGGTAGTGGAGGGAATCTGGGAACATGAGGGGGCAGACTTACCTTCCTTGACACTCAGCCTTGAGGACTGGTCTGTGTGCGAGGTTGTATTATAGGCCAGCAGTGAACCTGAAATAAAAGTAAAAACCAAATGGCATGCTTCAGTTTAGATCTAAAGGTTCCCCCAAAGGCCTGTGTGTGAGAGCCAGGCTTCCCAGCATGATGGTATTAAATAAAGGAGACTTTAGACACAGGGCAGAGTAGTAAGCCTGCTGATCCTTCAGTGGGCTGCTTTGTAGGGGGATTTGGGACTCCACCTCTGCGGTGGTGATGCTGTCACAGGAACTTCCCCTCAGTATCTAGGAAAGCAGAACTCAACACACACAGAGTCTCACACAGATTCCTCTGACATCTCAGAGTGCTGACATATGGTCTTCTATGAAGCTTTGGTGCAAACATCTCTGTATCAGGCTCCAGGGAAGCCATTTGGAATGGATGATTGGTTTCTTGCTGTCATTGCATGCAAAACACATGCTCCCTTTTTTCCTGAAACTAGATTTGTCCCTTTGTTTAAAGTGAACCCAAAAGTTTTATTTTGTAAAACGGAGGCATTTTTGGGATTCTTCTCATGATTCTCCTGGGGACGTTTTGAAAAGCCATCAAAACTAGGCCTGGGATCTGCTTTTACAAAGGACAACATGAGCTTAACACATGTGTTTGAGGCTAAGAAAGCCTTTCTAAACAACTTTTGTCCCTGGGGCATATGACCAAGGGTACTGACTGGAGGCCAGGCTGGGAATGGTTTGATGGCTTGTCAGTCAAGGAGGCTGACAGAAGCAGAGTGTCGGGTGTGTTCTTCCCCACCCCCATGAGTGTTCTGGTTGAGGGCAACCATGAACTCCTCCTGGAACATAAAACTCCTGGCTTAGGTACCTATCCTTTCTAGTGCTGAAGTAGCTCCCAGATGAAAAGCAGGAGATAGATGGGTGCCACTTAGAGACCACTATATGCCAAAGTGCAGATTCATGGGTAGCACTTTCTGAGTAACACACCCACTCAAGAATATCAGTGACAAACTCATTTTAGTTTAAGCTACCCTACTTCAAAATTAAAAGTTCATCTGAGTATAGGCCCATCAGTATAGCTCCTCTGGGTCATATGGTCCTCATCTGTACCAGGGGAAGAGCAATACCTACTGAACGTGAATGATAGCTGTGAGGCTTCAGGAAAAGCAAGTCTAGAAGGTGTGCAGCACAGACCTTCACTTGTTTTAAGCGTTCAGCCGAAGCTAGCAGTTCTCATGACTGCTTTTAGTTACAAAGAATGGAAACCCTTTACACAAGAGCTTGCGGGCACTGGCCTTGCCGTCTGGAATTCCAGCTAGGAATGGGTTCTACCGCAGTGAGAAATAATCCTCCGTGACTGGACAGAGCTTCAGAAATGGAAGCAAACGTTCCAAGAGAATACCCAAACCTCTCAGGGGTAAGACCAAGAATGTCTGTGCCTCTGTCCCAGGCATTCTCTCCCTGGGGCAGAAACTCGCCGGCAAATAAAGAAAAATGATGGGCTCTGAGCAGCAGCAACGAGTCATTAGTACAACGATAGGCCAGAGACAGGGCTCAGATAAACCACCCTTATTAAATTTCTACATGGTCAGAGTTCCTTTCTGAGCACACATGAAGCCACAGGAAACTCCCAGAATGCCAAGAGAAAGGGTCGCCTGACCTCCACAAAGCCTGCATGAAATACATATTTCATGGTAACCTAGGGGAGAGATTTTGCCCCAAGACTGTCTTGGTTCAAGTTTCACTACAGGAGAGGAAACCTTTTTGGGGGAGGGGCTGACCAGGGACACAAGTTTTCTTTTCACTGGTTTTTATTTTGCCAGGTCTTCAGGCTACCCAAGGTGCCTCCTGCATACCACCCGCCCCCACCTTTCAAGGCAATTTGTCCAGTTGCAGCAAAGTCCTTCCTGGAGTCTGGCCTCCCACTTGGTGGCTTTAGGTTTCTTCTTCTGGCTTTGAGGCTCTGACCTGAGCATTCCTAGTGCCGCTGAGTCCTGTAGAGTTTCCTTACACCAACAGCCTTAGTCAATGGCTAGATAGGGCAGCCCCCCTGAACTATATTTGCACTGCCAGGCACGTGTGTGTGTGTGTGTGTGTGTGTGTGTGTGTGTGTGTGTGTGTGAGAGAGAGAGAGAGAGGGGGGGGGGGAGAGGAGGAAAGAGAGGGAGAGGACGTCTGTGTGCTCACCTGTGGGTGACCTACACATGCAGGTCCCCTTCCACTCTTCCTCAGGGTATGTCCATCGGGGTTTTTTGAAACAGTCTCTTACTGGGACCTGGGGCCATATGATTAGGTCAGGCTGGCTGGCTAGCAAGGGGGTGGGACAGGCAGGATATCCACCGGCTTTCACTTCCCCAGAACTGGGAACAAAGGTATCTGGCTATCATTGGCTGTTTTACATGGCTTCTGGGGACCAAAAGCAGGTCTTCACGCTAGCATGGCAAGCACTTTCTCAACTAAGCTATCTCCACATTCTCCCATACACTATCGCTTAGTTTTTGCAGGAGCCATGCAAAGCCATGCATATTTTCCTTCCACAGCTGAGATCAGCATTCAGAGAAGTCAAGTCAGAGACTCAGAACCACACAGCCAGGGGCGCAGGGACAGGATCAACTGACTGGCTGCTCTGTAAGACCCGTTTTCAGTTCAGAAGCTGAAGCAGCCTTTAGGTTCAATCAGCATAGCTAAGATGGGTGAGAAAGTAGGGTGCTTATTCCAACACTCCAGAGGCCAAGACAGGAGGGTCACAGAAAGGGCTGGGAGCTGAGATTCATAGAGAAACCTGTCTCAGAAAGAAGGGAAGGAAGCAAGTATAGATGGAAGGAAGGAGGGACGAAAGGAAGGGAGGAGAAAAGGAAAGAAGAAAGGAAAGGAAGGAAGGCAGGCAAATGGCACTGGAAGGCAGATGTAAGTGCCTGGGGCTAGTTTTACATTGCAATTTTCATGCACTTAAACTGTCCCCTCAGTTATTATGCTGTGTGACAGTATATATGCACATGCGTGTATGTGTTACCTGTTGATTTGAGACACATTTGCTCTACAATGCATGAAGCTGTAGCTGCTGGGAGTGGTCACCTTTCAAGGTCATAGTTTGAGGACAAGATTGGTTTCGGGTTTTTCCTCTTCTTTCCTTTCTTTCCCCCCTTTCTCCCATTCCTCCTCTTCTCCCTCTGCCTCTTTTCTTTATTGAGACAGACCTCATGTAGCCCGGGCTGCTTTAATGTTCACAATATAGCTTGGAGCAATCTTAAATTTCTGACCCTTCTGTTTCCACCTCCCAGGTGCTAGAGATTGCAGGCACTGAGTACTACATCCAGTTCATAGGGTGCACAGCATCAAACCCAGAGTGCCCTGCATATTAGGCAAGCACTCTGCTAAGTAAGCTATATCCCTAGCCCAGCAAGGTCATTTTCTCTTTGGAGTCCACCCTAAACCGGACTTCTGGGATTTGAAAGGAGGTAGGAAGGGGCAGATGGGAAGGCACATTGCAGGCATGAGGCCCTGGGCTTCCTTCTGCTCTATGGTTTCTCTAACTTGCTTTTCATCTGGGACACCTGGAGCAACGGAGGCAAGGGACCCTGTGCAAGAGCCTTTGTCTCTGCCTCCCTTCCTGTTACCACAGATCCCAGAAGCATCTAAGTCCCCAACCCCAGGCAGCCAGTACATTCCTAGCTGCCTTTCTCCATGCTTCAGCAAGCACGTACCTGACTACACACTGGGAGGGCAGAGGAGGGAAGTTGGGCCCTTACATGAACAACGGGCCAGCTACTAGTGAGTCTGAGGCCACTGACCCTTTATCTTGTGGGAATCCTGCCCTCCTTTCCCAGGGCCAGACCCAGCCAGAAGGGTTGACACTTCCTCAACTTAATGACTGCGCCATCACCTTTGCTCCACAGTAGGAAGTTGCAGGTGGGAATACCACAGAACGCAGAATGTGTTTTCCATTAAGTTTAAATTAAAAATGGGAATCAAGATTGATACCTTTTCTGGGGTGTCCCTGTCACTTGATGTATTTCATCCTGTGGGGCTGCCACTGTTGGAAAATGTGGTTTCTTAGTATGTTTCCCAAGTCAGACCCAGATGGACATTCCACCCAGTTCCTTTGAAAATGAAAAGGAACAGCAACAAAACCCCTTTTCTTCTGCTTCTGGCTGTTCAGCCCAGGAGCTTTTGGGCTCCTAGACATCCCCAAACTCCCCCCAGTGGTCCTGTGGCTGAACTATCAGCTGGGGACAGAAAGCCCTGTTTCTGCAAGGTCAGCCTCATTGATCTTGGCCTGGAAAAAGGCAGCTCTCATTTGCCACATTCTCAGCCATACACAGTGCCTCTCTCCATCCAGTGGGAGACGTATCTGTAAGATTCTGGTGGAGCTGTCAATCACACCCAGAGTTTGGAGAAGAGAGGAGATTAGGGTGAATGAGAGGGTGGGTTTGGTTTAATTGGCATCAATCCAGGAGGCTTCCGAGGAGTTTTGCAAAGCCTGTATCTGCTGGTATAGTACAAATAGAAAGCTTTGTGGGGAGGTTGGGCTGGTGGAGGCTGGAGATGAGGTTAGCCCAGTTGATGAGAAGGGAAACAAAACAGGGTGCAGGTTCACCCATGTCCACATCCTAATTCATGCATATTTAAGCATCTTGCACCAGAGTTGGCAGGTCCTCTGCAGCAGTCACTTTAGTTCAGGCTGGAAGCTTCAATGACCCAAGTCTCAGAGGTCAGGTCCTGAAGCTGACTTGCCTCAGCTGCTTTGGCCATGAAACAGGGATGGTAGAGTTGTGTCCATGGTGTCCACAAGGGGGTGTCCTGTCTATATGTAATGAATGACACTTGGGCTTGTGCTGCCTGGGCCTTGTTCCCTCAGACATTTCAGTTTGACTCCAATAACTGTGTGTACCCTAATTAGTCCAAGCCTCTCCATCTTCTTCCTGATGCTACACAGGGGCTCCATCTGGAGGAGCTGAAATGCCCAGAAGTGAAGAGCTCATACCTTTAGGCAAGGGTCATCCATCCAGCAGGTGTGTGTGTGAGAAAGGGGGATGACTCAGGATATTGTTATTTCTTCCTTATCATGGGAAATTCCCCTTTAATTTATAATTAAACCTTGTAAACTTAAAGTATGGCTTTCTTCCTAGACAACAAGAACAGTCAACTCTTCTCTTTTGAAAGAAAATTTGATGCCAGAATGTCTGGTCCTACAAACGTGTCTTTACCCACTGAGCCATCTCACTGGCCCAGCTTCCAACAATTCATGCTTTGGCTCCTCCCTGGTTCTCCTGTGCTGACATCCCTCTACCCTGTGTCCTCCTGTGTTGAGGATCTCAGATCTTTCCCCTCTGCTTCTTGCCAAAAGGGGAAATGTTTAGGGCCACAACTGCTCCCCAACAGGATGGTGCTGAAAAACAGCAAGCATTCCCCTTACCCAACCTCGTGCCAAACCCTGGCCTCTCTCTTAAACACAAAACGGCCCTTGCAAGCCAGTCTAGGAAAACCATAAAGGTTTGAAAGCACGGTGTACAGCAGGAGAAAGGTCTCAGGCACCTTAGAGGTGAACAGTGTCTGACAAATGGCTTTCTATAGGCTCTACACAGAAAACTAGTACCAATAAGCAGTGGTGGACCCCAAGGGAGAAAGTATATTTTAAAAAGAAAAGAAAATCAAATCAGAAAAATTTCCATATAGGTCATTTTAAATCTAGATGCCCCAGCAGAGTATTACAATCTCTGTTACATTTCAAGAAAATTTAAATTTAATACAACTACTATAATTTTTGTTTTGGCCCACAGACACAGTTTTCCACTCAACTTTGTGTCATAAGCACATCTCACATTTTACCACAATAACCATCGTAGAACTAGAAAACCTCTCCTTGTGTAGACCTACTGCTGCTGGCACCATCCCCCAGGCCCAGGTCTGGTGCTTTCACAGGCTTTCCACATGCATACTGGTTCTACTTCTTCTCAATCCTGGAATCCCTCTCACAGCAATCCCCTCTCTGGAAACGTTGTTGTATGGCATCTTCCATAATGTTAACATATTCTTAAGGAGGAGAGAATCCACAGTTTTTCTTGCCATGCCTCTAAACACCAAACTGTGCTCCCTGCTCCCTCTCTAGCTGCTCGCCCTTTTGTCCCCTCTTATCTGCACTTGTAGGCGGCCACCCAAGGGTGATGGTGAGCATTGACAGATTTATTGTATTCCTGGGCCTTCTGAGCAGCAGAGATATCTGTCTCATGTCAGTGTTTGTGGCTCAGCTTCTTTGGTGACAGAAAGAAGAAGTGGGGACTTGGACTGTTTGTGGGTGGGTCAGAAATCCAGACCTGGAGATCACATGATCTGAATGGGCTTGCCTCTTAGGAAGTCCAAATGTTTTTGAACATGTTCCTCACAGGCATCCACCATAAATTATTGGGTCCTTTGTGTGGAGCTCACTGGGGCCTCCATCATGTCTTCTTCCTTGAGGGTCTCTCCACCTCCTTCATAGTGGATGCTGGAGGAACCTAAATGTCAGGCTTGGCTGTGCTCTGTGCTTCTGGCCTCTGCTTCCCATGTAAACTATCTATGTCTACTGTCTCCCCTGCCCACCCCGTGTGCATCATGACAGAACTCTGTCCAAGGAGCCTTTTGTTTTGTTTTTTTCCTTTCATCAAGCATTTAAAGGCTGAGAAATACAGATCATTGTTAAATGCTAATCATCCAAAAGTCAGAGAAGACTAGGTAGAAAATGGCCCTCTTTTAAAATTGTTATTTCTTGGACTGACCTCATATTGCAGCAACTCAGACATGAGGTCATTGCTGTGGAGCTAGCATACCCTCTCCCAGTATTACCAGCTGCCTTTGAGAGGTGGCTAGATGGCCCAGAGGCACTGGTGGAAACTTCCAAATACATTTATTTTTATTTTCAATTTTCCAGCCAGCGTGTGTTATCCCTGCTCTCCCCAGAACTCTCTTACACTGAGACCATGGATTGCAATGACAGCAACTAAACATGCAATGGAGATACTGTACAGGGTAAACCAGCCCAGATCCCATGAGCCCATGAAAACAGCTCCACAGTGTTCTCTGGAGTCTCAGTATTCAAAGTGGCCTTAAAACCATCAAACCTTCCCAAAACTTAACTCATGCAATACCCCTGGCAAAATAGGCCCAGCCTCTTTTTGAGGTAGCTGGCTATAGGAATGCCTTCATACAGAATGATCCCACATCTGCTTTCCTGTGGCTTCAGCTCATCTTTGCAGCACTCGGAGATAGCATGGGGATAGAGCCTGGCATGGATTTCTGATGGAGAGTTAAGGCTGAGGTCACCAGCAGGTCCAAAAGAATTCCATTACATCTCTATCAAAATCCATGTGGCACTGGTGAGTGCTTGGCATTAGGGAGCCTCCTGTTGGATAACTATTCTTTATTAAGGTTTCCCTCCCCAAAGTTCTCCCAACAAACCGGGGCCACCAGCTACTCTCCTTGTTTTGGACAGTGGGGAAAGCAGCCCTTAGGGTAGAGGTGGGGTATCAGAATGACTCCAGGATAGGAGGAGTTATATGCCAGCTCCCACTATCTTAGAACCCACATTTATGTTCAGAATTTCCAGTATGAACTCCTTAATGATCCCTTAGAAAACTTCCAACCAGAGCCTCTATCTCTGTAATGTTAGGTAGTGGAAGGTTCTGGAAGAGAGATCTTCCCAGAGCCTGCCTACCTAGTCTATGCTGTCATCTTCCCCAGGTCCAAGTTCCCTGTGATCTTTCTTCCTTCCTTCCTTTCTTCCTCCCTCCCTCCTTCCCTTCATTTCGTCTTCCTTTTCTTCTCTCTCTTTCCTTTTCTTTTTGCTTCCCTTGACACTCCTGGATTGGGTCTTTCCCTTGCAGGATTTGTAGGAACTCATGTGACCTTGACAAGGATTCAGTAGTAAGGATATTGCTCCTTATGGTATGACCCTGGTGACTAGTACAAAAGTATCCACCTCCTTTCCCTGGGCTGGCTTTTGGGGGACCTGGCAAGACCTCCCTCAAGCCATGGGAGCAAATGGTGCACTTACTTTCCCTGAGGTAACTGAGGTGAGACAACAGCACTTCGGTGTTGTAGACGGAGGTGGCTCGGAGGAAATCGTCCTTGTTCATTTTACACAGTTCCTTGCCATCCATGTTTTGGAAGAAGGAGGTGTCAATCTCCATCAAGCCATATTCCTTTATGGCCCACTCTAGCCACTGTCGCACATGCTCCTGTGTCCACAGTGTGGGGTCTACAGAGGAGAGATGAAAATTATCAGGATGGATGCCTGCCTCCAGCAGCCCAGGCTACCCTTTACCCTCCCTTCTCCCTCTCTTCCTGTTGCCTGTCTCTTATGTCCTCTCTCTCCTCCTGGACCCTTCTTTCCTCTTCCTCTTCCTCTTCTCCTCTCTCTTTCTCCTAGTCCCCCTCTCTTCTATTACCTCCCCTTTCCTCACCTGATGATTTTCCTTTTCCCTCTCCCTATTCACTGTATCTTTATCCCCACCCCCTGTCTTTCCCTCTTATACCTGTCTCTTTTCTTGCCTCCCTTCCAGATGGTCCCCCTTGGAACATCCCATTTGGCAATGCCTGAACCACTTAGCACTGGGAAAGGTTCTTAGCAGCCTCAACATACACTGATGGGATGCTATTTAAAAATTTTGGATGGCAATTGAAACCTTGGACTAAGAAATAATGGCATCAAAATGAAAATAAACAACCCTACAGGCACAGTGACCTGGAAAGGGGGGACTGTCTGTATCTTAGCAATATTAATGAGTACAAGGAAGCACACTGATCCCTCATATGCCTAGAGAAGAGAAATATATACACTCGGGTTTTTCCCGCAATTCCATCTGGGCAGCTGGAAAACCCAATGATGTTACTGTTTGACATAAACCCAATCTGGGCTTCCTCCTTTCAGGGCATAGCTGTATTAAGATTTCAAGCAGACCATCCCTAAACATTTTGAGGATATTTCAATACTTAAAGATGATAGATGGTGCTATAGACAGAAACTTCTTTAACTGTGCATGAGCAAGACCAACACAGGAACAAAGCTTGTGCTCTCATTTGCCTTTTTCCTTCCCTCTCTTTCTCATGGTTTCTCAGGCTGAGGCAGGAGATGATGCTACAAGTGGCAGGCTCCCACAGGCATGGAGGTACCTACTAATAACCCTGGCACTAAGGAAGCTGAGGCAGGAGGATTGTGCATTTGAGGTACCCTGTGCCACAGAGTAGGTGTCTTGCTGACTCTTTTACACACACACACACACACACACACACACACACACACACAGAGAGAGAGAGAGAGAGAGAGAGAGAGAGAGAGAGAGAGAGAGAGAGAGAGAGAGATCCATCACCATGAAAATGCAGGTATCAAAGCAATAAATAAGAAATGGGTTTGTGCTGGTAGTTCATGAAGCCTTGGGTAGAAGGGTCTGGGGTGAATTTGGAGAGAGCTGGGAAGCTTCCTAGAGAAGAGATTGTATTTTATTGCAGGGCAGCTGGTCTCTCCAGCTTCTGCTTTTCTGCTTGGTCTGTTTCATTCGGCATGCTTATTTAGCAAGAAAACGTGTACTCCTTTTTAACCAGCTCAACATTCCTCTTATTCTAGAGCCTGCAAAAGCTCTAGACACAAGAGTAGGGTCTAAATGGTCAGCAAATGGCAGTGGGGAGGAAGCCAGTTGCTGGGTTCTCTACGGGTTATAAAAGAAACCCTTGAGAGGTTTAGAGGTAGCTCATAGAAAAGCTCAGGGGTCACATATCACAGCTCCTGCATGTCATATCAAGAATCCAGGATGTACCTACCTAGTAACAGCACAACTGTGAGATCCTACCACCAGCCAGCTCTTTGTCCCATTTTCTCTATCAAGGGAATCTGCAAATTGGGGTTGTTATACCCATATTATAGATGGATAGGGATTCATGGAAGTTTTGCCTTAGGAACTGCTGCTGGGGTTCCTGTAGAAGCCTTCAAAAGATACCACATAGTCGAAGAAGCAGGTTCCCCGAGGTCCCCTCTGTCTTGTTTTGTCAGGATCCTGCCTTAACTCATTTGCAACTGCAAAGCCTTGAGCCAGAACCCAGATTTCCTCTGTTCCTCAGCCCCCTTGAGCATGTGTGTATTTGTGTTCTTCAGATAAACTTCTGGGTTCGTTTTTATCCATTTACTTTTCAAATCAAGCAAGGGCTGTGGGTAGACAGAAATCTCAGAATACTAAAGGAAGATATCACAGAGGGAGTTGGATTATGTAGCATATTATTTAATCTGTAGCTTCTCCCAATTCCTTACTTGTAGAATCCCAGACTGAACGTTCAATTTTATGCTCTATATTTTATTTATTTCATTATTCCCTCTCTTTGCTTTGGGATCTCTCACAATGTTAATTCTCTCCTTCTCCAGCACCATGAATTATAAATCTTCCACTCTGGATCATGCTAAACTCTTCCAAATGTATTTCCTGGATGACTTAGTCCTTATTCGTTCCCATCTTGATGTGGAAATGGTGATTAACTAGAACCCTCATTTGTACTTGTCTTAAAAATCCCATCATAAATTCAATAGGTTGTTCCTCTAATGTTTTATTACCTTGATTTGTGGACTTGCCCAAAGGAGACTTTCCCTTGAGCTCAGGATGCTGACCTGGAGGAAGCCAAACTGTGTAAGGGTAATGCTTCCAGATCTAGCCAGTGAAAGAACAACGGAGCAGATCTGGGCTCATGAATTCATTATGCCAAATGCTTTGAGACAGCTTGAAAAGAATGTATGCCATTTTCTCTTTCAGTGCTATGCTTAAGTCAGTCCACCTTTTGCCAATCCGCTTGAAAGCATTTCAACACCATTTAAAGAGTAAAGAGTCAGCCAAACAGTCTGGTCCCTCTTCCTTCTTCCTATATGCCCTTCCTTAAGACACCCAAAACAAGATGGTGACAGTCACCTGGTTCTGAGCTAGTCTCCAAGTTCCTAATGGTTCATGCCCTCAAGATTTCTTTCCTGTGCTGTGAGGTTGGAGCAGGCCTTGTGTTGTGGAGAGATTTCCCACCATGTTTGTTTCAATATGATTTTACTGTCTGAAAGTAGGGAGACGACCACTGAGGTTGGTGACAAATCAATTAAATGGTATGATAACGAAATAGAGAAAGCTACTTACATTATGCCCAACACCCATGAAACTGCTAAATGAATTTCTTCTGGGCAGGCACAGGTAGCACATATCTGTAGCTAGTCCCAGAACTAAGGAGGCTGGGGCAGGAGGATTGCTGCAAGGTCCTGCCGCCTGGTTTACACAGTGAATTCTAGGACAGCATGTGCTACACAGTGAACTCTCTCAGACAACCCAAACAAGTAAACGGACATATAAATCAGGCAAAGCTCTCCTTGCAATCAACCCCTATGCTGGAAGAAGAGGCAACAAGGCAGCTTTTAGTTCTGTGAACTACAGAGCAATATCCACGAGCTCTTCCTCTGCCTCTACTCCTGTATCTTCTGTCATGTGGAATTAAGCCCGGAACTCAGAAATGTGGCTTCACTCTAGGAGGGCAGTCACAACTTCCCATGGAAACAAACACCCAGGGCAGAGAAAAGATGTGCCCATCACAAAATATCCTTCAGACCAATAGATAAATCCCTCCAAACTCCCTCGGAGACATCTAATTGTTCTAAGACACAACTGCATCTACATGTTTACAAATAGAGGGAGCCAGCCTTTCTGGTGAAGTTATTTCGGTAAGAATCATTTTAGCCCCTGACCTATAATTCACTTTGTTCAAGCTCTGGACATTTTGCCCCTTGCCACCTAGCACCCACTCTAGAGTGGCAGCTTTTGAATTCCCTCCATGTCCTGGCAGCAGAGTATACTGGGATTGGTCTGGGTAATGTTCATCCAATACACTGGAGGATTTAACAACAAAACCCCCACCCACAAGTAACCAATATCTGGGGGAAAGAAAGAGGCTATTTCTACATAATGATATAACTTGTGGCACACACATGGGGGCGTTCCTTTTGTTAAATATAGTTATTTCTATTTTAAAACCAAAAGAGCTGGCTGTAATTTTGGGAAGGTGGAACCTAGCAGAGGCCAGGAAGCACATGCCTGAGGGAAGGGTGAGCAAGGGTGGAAGGAAAGAATGGCGGGTATGAGGCAGCCTTGACTCTGCCCTTGGGGTAGGTTGAATCCTGGGATACCAAACCACTCATGGAAAGTCTGCCTTCTCCTATGTTTGAGAGTGGGCTTTCTGGAATCTGCTTGCCAGGGTTCTGGTGACATTTGAGAATCTGCCTTGGATGGTAGCTAGGGAGTCGGGGTGGGGTGGGGTGGATATGCAAATTTCTCTGGTTTGCATTTCTCTGAAGACTAGGCATCTAGGTAGGGTTTTGTGTTCTGAGGGACAGGCCTACTCTTCCACTACAGCCCCCAAATAATGGAAACATGGGCACTGGCCAGGCAGCTGGTTCCCAAGTTACCTGCAGGCACAATGACTCTCCGTTCATTGGTGGTCATGTTGGGAGGAGGGGGGCCATTCTTCTCATCCATGTAGCTATTATAGTTCATGGGGTTGGTCTCACCTCCGCCTACCAGCTTGTTGCATTTGCTGACACTGCAGTCCACTGGAGATTCCCTGGAATGAGAGGAGACAAAGATCAAACATTGTTACTGTGGGGATGTCTCACTCCAGCTTCAGCAGAGTTGGCCAGTCACTTAGACACCCACTGGATAATGATACAGTGACGATGAAATCTTATTGCCATCCTTCATGTAAAACCCAGTCTGATTCTGTTATAAGCACCGTGTCTCCTGTTGAATGCATTTCAGTGGGCTGCAGCCCTCACAATCTGATTGCACTGTTCAGTTTCAACCAGATTGCCAGTGACCAACACTTCCCATTTGTACTAGTCCTTTTCTAAGACAGGCCTTCCCCACAGTCCTATAGTACTTTATGTCTCCCTCCCTTACAGGGCTGATCACACTATAAGATGGTCAGTGTGGCCTGTGGCCTGTCATTGCCGTTTCTTGACATAGGGCCATGATTCGCTGGTCCAGTTATTTCTATTGCACATATATTGTGTTAATGCATTTTTAAATCTGCTGTGTGCTTTATCTGGATTTCCATAACCCTTTCAGATCTGTTGAGCAGGGGTTACTACATCCCCTTTATGGTTACCAAAATGGAACGGTGTGGTGATGAACAGAATCTCATAGCTAGTAAAGATGGATGCAGGACTCAGGTCCCCAGAACTAAGCTTCTCAATTAAGTCTACATACAGAAGAGCTGGATGATACAAGAAAGAGGACTAGAATCCAGGACCACCATCTTGATCTGTAATAATTCTTGTAGTGTTTTACAGCCATGAGCAGTTAGAAGAAGCAATATGGATATTTGCAAGGGAGAAAGCAATCACCCAACTTAAACTAAAACAACAGAGCCCAATTAGCATCTGATATTTGCAGCATCTGACACTGAACAATGGGCTGGAGAGCTAGATGGACAAGCCCCCTGTGCTTAGCTGATGCAGCTAAATACACACAGAACACTCTATGGGTCCCCAGTGACCTTCAGCATAATATCATGGTACTCTCAGCATGCCAGGAGAGGTGCCATCCCAACTTGCCCAGCTCTCACTCAATCCTTCCAAGAAGCAACACCATAGAAGACTCATAGAAGTCCAGTGGGAGCTGTGGTATGGTAATGCCAGGTGGCAAGCATCAACCTGGCATCCTGGGAGGTGGTCAGTTCTCTTGAGAGTGCCAAAACCAGCCATAAAATCAAGAGATCCAACAAAATTAAAGTGTGCCAGCTTGTCTTGCTAACCGTTTTCTAGTCCCCTGGCCTGGCTGCTGTCTCCAGTCACTCTGCTCTCTGTCTTCTGCAGTGGGCAGGAACAGACTTAGAGCCCTTACAGAATGCTGGGGAGCCACCCATCCCCACAGCCAGGACAGCAGTCACCAGCCCAGGAGGAGGGGAACAGTCCAGGGCTCCCAAGAGTCAGGCAGAGTGGGGAGGCCTGAGCACATTCAATAAAGAAAATTAAATGAATTTGTTTCTTAATCTGAAAGGAAAAAAATATTGCAGATCACTTATCATGCCTGGGAGATAAATGCTCCACTGAGATATTAGAAGGCAGATGGTAATTTTTTCCTGATGTCTTACCGAGGAGAACATGGGCTGAAAATGAAAATAAGATGTATAACTTACACATGTTAGAATTTAAGGTTTTTACTATTTGCCTACTGTTTTTCCAGGCAGAGAACCAAAAACCAGCCGTCAGAGTCCCAGATTGTTGAAGGTTTAATGTCCCCATGGCAGTCGGAGGGGAGGCAGTAGCACGTCGGGGCCTTTCACCAGTGCTCAGCCCTCTGGCTTCTGCTGTTGAAGGACTTGGCTTGAGATGAAGCAGCCCCAGTCAGACCCGGGTGCCTGTGTCTAAGCTGAGCTGGCCTGAGCACTTTACCCCACCCTCCAGGAAAACTATGTGCATGCATGCATACACACATACATTTCACCACACACAGCACACATATGCATAATGAAAACATTCAGACTCCAACTTTATTACATAGGTGCACAAACACAAACAATTCACTATACTCTACACACTTTATCACACATATCACAAACACAATGCTAACATGCATGTGTATATTCATATACTCTACCACATATACACATGTTCATACCTATGTACACACACATGCTACTTTACACAGTACATGCACACGCACATATATACATATCCATAGCCCACCATATACCTATATACAAAATACAAACGTGTACACATGTACTCCATTTATACATCTATATAGTCATACATACTCTATAATATAAAACACATATATACACTCTACCACCTACATGTATATAATATATGTATGCACACAATCATAGGCTATCACACACATATAATTAGATGAATACACACCCCCATCACAGATATGTATGTATATGCTAACACACACATACACACACACACACACACACAGGAACTCATACCACCACAGTCTCGTTGTCTTCCCCAGATTCTTGTCAGATGAGAAACCATCCAAATGCCAGAGAAGCTTGGAGAATTAAGTTGGCCTAAAACCAAGATAGTGGAGTTTTCATTGGCTGGCAGGGGTGGGGTTGGGGAGGGTGGTCAGCATACACATACTTCTTTTGCAGGGTACCTAGAGCCAGACAGCCAGGTTATGTGGTAGCAGAAGAGATGCCTATTCCAAGGCCTCCATTGATTAATTTTATGAATATTGGGGAGAAGAATTTCAAACCGTTCTTTTACATTAGAGTCGGGCCTTGGAATTTATGCATTTAAAATTGGCTTCTTGCCAGGCAGAGGTTAGAACCTCAGAAATGCCCAAATTCGTGGCCCTTGTGGTTTGGAGCTATGCACAGTGGGCATGGGTGGCAAGAGGAGACACAAAACCAAGCCTAATAGTGACCAATGATGAGGGTGCCACAGGCAGGGGCAGGAAGCAGGTGCAGAAGAGCAGAGGCACCCTGGGTCCCACTACTGGCAATGTCTAGCTGACCAGTGATGGCACTCCATTCACTAGACCCCCTCCCCAAAATTCTAGCTGTCACCCCTCCCCCAGCCTTCTTCCAGCTGTACCCTAGAGGCCTGTTACCTCCCTGGCTGCCCCTCCCTGCCCTTCTTTAAAATAAGGCCCCATTCTTGGTCACAGGCAGTTGCTCTCAAGGCCTGAAAAGGGACTTCCTTAGAAAAAAAGGCTGACACCCAGCTGAGACCTTAGCCCTTGTAGAGCTAGCTGGCCATCCTACTCTAGTTCAGGGTGAGAAAGAAGGAAACCATACCTCCCTGGCTTGCACACTTGTCTGCCAGACTTGCCTCCATCCTCTTTGCCTCAGCCAGACAGCACAGCCATCGGCTTGGTGATCACTGCCTGTCCAGGTGAAGCCTAGCATAAAAGGCTGCTCTTTAATGAGGCAGCTGGCGCCTGTGAAGTGGGCTTGAGGAAAACAAGAGAGAGGGGAGGCGGGGAGCCCTGGAGGGGGAAGAGGCTTGGCCATTCACTGCCCATACGCTGCTGCTAATTTGTATTGAGACTTGCACTTACAGCAAGCAAGGGGTTGGGGCCCACAGGCAGCTGACTGTACTGGGGCAGGTGACAAGAGGGCTTGAGGCTGCCACAATAGAGCAGGGAGGAAGTGATGGCTTGGATGTGTAACTCTGAGCATCTCTATGTCAGGGCTGGGGAAGGCCACAGACAGCAGGCCACAATACGACATAACCTTCCTAGACAGAAGCTTCTATTTCTGTGTGTTTATTGAAGACTGCTTTAAAAAGAACCACTGCCTATGATTCACAAAAGTGCCTTCAGATTCTTAAGCAACATGAAACAAGGTGTGAAATCCTAAGATGAGGCAAAGGGGTCCCATTTCCCTCAGAGCACCTAGACACATCATGTATCATCGGATCACAGATCTGCTGACCCTCAAGGGCCACTCACTATCCACAAAGCCTGCAGGGCTCCCTGAGCCACATGGTTGTATTAGAATCTATCTGCATCTATCGTGTAGCATGCCCAATGCACACCTGAGGGATCTGGGGTGCCTTTAGCATTTCTGGGAGGTCCGTTTATGGAGGTGATTCATTGCTTCCGATAAGGAAGTATAATCTCAGAAAAAAAATGACACACAAAACCCCCACCACCTTGGCTTTAACAAGATAGTGTGCCCTGTCCTCCACACTCCCCATGCAAGGTTTAGAATTTAGAAATGTTGAAAGGTGACAGAGGGGCAAAAGTGACAGAGTGAAGGAGGCTCATCTTTTTAGTGTGGAACAGGATTCTATGGGTGTTCAGTGCCTCCTGATGATGCTGGCCAGTGCAGGATGTCTCAGAGCAAGTGATGCTGAGTTCAGATCCTGAATGCCAGGTACCTAAAACTAATTCTTATGCTTTCTCCCTCGACAGCTGATAGAATTTCCTTCATGCACTGTTTTCTCCTTTCCCCATGGTTGAGACAGGATGCAGCTGAGAGTTATTTGCAGACCACAGCTTGGATCAAGTTTCTGAAGTTTCTATCCAGCACAGAACCTATGGGCTGTGCTGTTTGGAAGGCAACCCAGAGAACCAGATTCAACCACAACAGGAAGATGGGAAAGGAGACAGAGTAACCCTCCCATAACTCAGGCAACCCAGAAGATCTCTGATGCCTCAGATCTCGGCCCCTCAGCATGACCCTTTGACCCTGGACCAGACAGCGGCTGCTAGGATAAAAGGCAAGAGGGTATTGCAGCTTCAGAGACATGAGATACCTCCTTCATGTCAAAGACACAAACATCTATGGTGCTTCCAAGAAGCATGAAGAAGTAACCCAGAAACCTACATTTCTTAAAGAACATGGTAGGGATGCCCTGTGAATCCCTGGGCAGTGTGAAGCATTCTGCCCCAGCACAGTCCAATCCAAGTAAATTGTGAGTCACATGTTTGAGCCTCATGGATCATTTTTACCTTACTGAGTTTTAAAATTACGGAGGAAAAAAAAAAAAAAAAAGAGTGAAAGGCTGAGACATGGCTCAGCAGTTAAGAGCACTTCTTGCAGAGGATCACATGATGACCCACAACCTCTATAATTCCAATTCTGCGGAGTTATAGAGGCAC